ATATATTCGAATTCTATTTCAAATTTATCTATCACGTTAGTTATTTAGTTTCTATACTTATGGATTTTGCTGTCCGATACTCTGCCTTGATCCTTCTATAAAAGCTGGTGTCCTGTAGGTATGCCAAAAAAAAAAACAAAAAGCTTAATGAACCGCAAAGAAGTAACCTACGACTCAAAAAACATCACACATTTGGCAACTTGACACTCTACCATAATGAAAACTGAGTGGAACTACATCCTTATAATCATGTCTGTTATCAGAAAAGAGATAACTGCATATGCCAACCGCCAAAAATGTAACCATTGCACCCCCAATTTGCTATTCTGTCTTGAGTGCCGAGTTCATTCTTCCCTATAAAGAGATCAGTTCCATTATGCAATTCATTTGTTTGTAATCCATCAATGTGAACAGGTGTCATCATGTTGCTCAATATTCAAAATTTCCTCCAACCATATGCTCTGTGCAGCATCTGTTAGTACTTTAAAGGATTCCAGATTTTCACTAGGATTCAACCATTTCAGATGATAAATATAAAAACCATTCAAGGGCCTTCCACTAAATGCTTAAACTTTTGGATGAAGGGTCTAAATGCTTAAACTTTTGGATGAAGGTTTTCCTGTAGCCTTCATGAAGAAACACTGTGCCCCATGAATTCTTTCTAATAAATTAAATCAAACTTTTAAACCAGGAATGGCAGGTCTAAGTTTTGTCACAATTCAAGCTCTACCCTAAGGGGTTTCATGAGAGGGGAAGAGGGAAAATTCACAGGCTTCCTCCAACAAATCAAGCTTTTATTACAATTTTGTTCTTGAAAATATTGTCCAATTTGGTAATGCAGACCTTACAAAGAAGCCCCTCATGCACTTAAAACATCATTGGAAGAGGAAAATGCTCCCTCACTGAAGAAGCTATCCACAACTATCAGTTTCTGTACGTGTTGTCAAAATGTGCACCAACAACTCATCTCACCTCACATTAAAAGCCCTTCGATAATAAACTGTACTTGCTTTTGTGCATGTTGTAAAACAAAGAAACAGAAGTTGATTTTACCCTTGAAATATGAGATAAGAAAAAAATAATAATAATATACAAGGCTATTATGCTTCAAAAAGAAATGCGGTAAAGTCAAATAACATACTAGCCCATATTGGAATATCCGTTTCAAAGCCTCATCCAAATGCTGCTCATCCCCATACCGAAATCGAGTGACATCATTCTTGACCTACAAGGCCATGAACATTTTACACAGTAAATTCATTTTGTAACCATATTTATTGGGATATGATCGAATGCACAATGAGGATATAGAAGTGAATGAAACATTTCAATCTAAAGATGTATACATGATATATAAAATCATTACGTGATTTTATTTTCTTATAGTATATCTAGAAGCGCCAAGAAGCACTTTGAGAAGATCCAATTATGATTATATCATTAAGTAATAATGTAATTACTTTTGAGAGATCAGTGTTCAGCAGAAATACGAAGTTTGTATCTAGGCTGTACTTTCTGCACTTTGTGCGTTAGATATTCCCAGAAAGAACAAATTCAAGTTGAAGTCATCACAGAGAGGGTAATCACAGGAGAAACAAATCTTAAAGCAGTAACTTTGATAATTGATATGCATCTTTCATAATTCTGTTGGCTGTCATTTCTCATCTAGCATAAACAATTATAGTTTTGATGGAAATATTAATCGCTCAGCCACTAAGAAGACATCATTCTGCAGATATGAATTAATCATGCAGCAAGAACAAAGAAAATAAGAAATATTCTGCCACAAATGAATGTTCGCATTTTCCTACCTTTGAGAAAAATAGAATCTTCTAAACAGATATTAGTTAAGGAAAGCAAAAAGAGAATATGTACATTTCACTTTACCTACATAAGAAAATTAATCATGTTAACAGGTGCATGAGCATTAACTATCTGCAGTAAAATATATTGTGAACATATCAAGTTGGTTTGGCGATGAAAGGTTGCCTCTTTTATCAATCACATTTTATTCAATGCATGTTTAACTCTTAAAGCTATGATTAAAATTTTCTGTAAAAACTCCAGCCTGAAGGAAAAGGGGCAAACTTTATGAACACACTACATAGCATGAATGTGCCAAGTTAGCAACTATATTGGCCAAATCAATAAATAGAACAGTGCTGATGTACTTACAGAACAGAGAAGACAACACTCAACTAGAGACATATGAAAAACATGAGACATATTTTAAAATTCTAGAACTGGAAAAGAAAAACTCATCAGAAAAACACTTAAAAGGACACCGTGATTCATAATCGAAATAAAATTACCTGTTTAAGAATTGGGGTGGCGCATGTTTCCCTTAAATTCTGAGCATCTGAATAGGTCAGGCATGGAACTGGTCTCAGTTCAGCATACTGCAAAAAAAGATGGCCCAATTGTCAAAATATAAACCAAACTAAGCTCGTGAACTGCATGAGCATCCCCTAGAGCCCAAAAGTCAAATTTTGATAATGATGCATGTCCTGAAGACCATCCCTTGCACAGAATTTCGGCTGGCAAGGCCTTACTTTTCCCCCTTTTCTTAACAGTAAGAAAAATTATAGGCATGAAATACTCAATTACAATAACATCAACAACATTGATTAGCCAAAATTTCCATAGTCCATACTATAACTACTTTTGAATTAATGAACACTTCTTTCACCTTGAGTGCCATTCCAATAATCGCAAGAGGGAACCCATATGTTAACATTATAGCAGACCATTCTGATCCGGGAAGGATATTAAAATATGCCCCAAAACCATACCTGTATATTTCAAACAAAAAAGCCATCGTTATAAAAAAAGCACTTTATATGGCTATTAGGCTTTAATTTAGGGGAAAAACTCACCCCAAAAGTGAGACCCCAACTCCTAGACCAACAACGCCAAATGAAATCTGCAATAAACGAAATTCCTTTGAAAGTCTGTCCGATAAATAAATGATACTAAACTAGTCATTAAATTTCATAGGGAGGGGAACAGGAAAAACAAAAAAACCATCCGAATCAGCAAGTCAGTTAACACGAAATAACACTTGCAGTGCCGAGTTCCACCAGAAAGCAGGACAATAATAGAGACAATCAATGCATTCACTATGGTATTTTGTTTATGACTTGAAAGTTTGAAGCAAAATAATTTGAATTTGTGGCAATTCGTTGGTCCAACAAAAGTAAATTCATTCTCACTATGGGAATGTTAAAAACCAGCACTATCAAGTTTCTTTCTTCGCGGAGTAAAACTGAACTTGAAGATTATGGTAAAAATAAGTAAAGATCGACCTACTAACGTTTTAAACTCATATCGTACGGGATGCTAAAGAGTTCTGATTGTAGAATAGTGTCATATTCGCCGAAGTCTTGACATCATACCAACGCTTTCTCCGGTAATACATCAAAAAAAGACTTTTCTTTTCCAAAGAAAAAGGAATCTTCGCAGTGTCGCCACGCATTCTCTCACAAAACCTCCCTATGTTTGATAGATTTTAAATAATAGACCCTACAAATCCTTTCACATAACTAAATTGGGTCCCAATACTAACTACCACAACACAAGCAAAACAAACAGACCTTAGAAAGTGAGAATCCCTCATCCGGAACAATGGTCTTGTTACCAACATCAACGGAGGCAGATTGGGTAGAATCAGCAGCCCTGGGTGTGAACACAAACTTTGAGCTATGGCCCCTCTCGAAAATTCTGCCGTTGGATTCAAGCTGAATGCTGATGCTGGTGCTAGTGGGTCGTGACCTACTTTTGTTGAGATGACCGCGAGCCGGATCAGTCAGAGAGATAAAACGATGACGATGGCAGAAGCCGAATTGTTCGCCGGAGCAAACAACGGCTCCGCCAGGCGGTGACAATGATGCCCTGAGTAGCATTAGTTGGGTAGTGGCTTCTTCCCAGAAGACGTTTGCTTCGTTGAGCAAGGGAAGAGAACGAAGTGTGGGTGAGGTTCGAAGAGAAACTGTTCGTTGCTCTCTACCGCCAAATTTGGGGGATTACGTGTCGACATTAGGTTCAACAGAATTTATCTTCCTTTTTTAAAGATAAAACAAAGCTTAATATACAATAATATGTCAAAATATATTAGAATTCAATTCATTAGAGGAGATTGCAAGTTCAATTGAATTGTCAGGTACTTAATTTAAAAATAAAAGTTATCAGAATTTGATTATTTTAGTACATACTCTCCTATTCTAATTATAAATTTTATTTATAAATTATAAATAAGATCTTATTATTAAAAGAAAAATAGTACTTTTTCAACAAAATTATTCAAAAACGTCAAAAAAAAAGACAAGTAAACTGATGTTCATATGCTTTTAAAAAAAAGCATGCATAAGCATTAGCACATTCCATAGCCATAAAAAGATAAGCCTGGGATGGTGATTTTAATTTGTAACATTCAGATTGATTAAATAGTTCGTATTCAATTTAAATAGTTTTATATCTTAACTGTTTTGTTATTTTAATAGATATAAAATTAAGAAAAGGATAACATTATAATAAAAAAATACCTAAGTCAAGTTACTTATATTCGTGTCAAATTTTTTTAAGTATATATGGTCATGTATTTTATTTTTTTATGTATAAGCTTATAATTAAATAATACTAAATGTTAATATTTCAAAAATAGAGTACATGAATATATCTAATAGGAGAATTTGACATAATTGATGGGAAGAACTTAACTTTAACTTAGGTATTGTCCCATTATAATTTACACCTCTTAAGAAGTAAATTTATTATTAAAAATTATAGATTAATAATTTTAAATCTAAACCGGTATATTTTGAATAATGTAAATTTTATTATAACGATGAAAACAGTGATATATGTGGGCCCCCAATAGATATTTTAGGTGATTACAAATACAAAATTACTTGCCAAATTCTCTTAGAACACTTGGAGGGGTGAGTACCATACTAATTATGGTTCCCTTCTTGCCCTCAATTTTTCCTGAAGGAGCCATCACAATGTCAATGGTTTCGTCCGAGCACGCCTTGTTCTTCTTCGTGTTCTCCATCACCTTTCTCATCTCAAGGCCTAGTTCAGTTATCGCTGGATCACCCCACAGCATCAATTTCAGGTCGCTGAATCTCTACCCGGAAGGCCTAGCTTGGGACCGATTGGGTCAGCACTTTCTCGTTGGATCACTCAATCAACGGGTCATCTCAGCCGTCTCTGACGCCGGCGTTGTTTGAAACCTTTATCTCTGACCCTTCATTCCCTGAAAATGTTACCTTTTCTGGTCTCGCCGTCGATTCCCTTAAGAAACGCCTCCTAGTTGTCGTCCATGCTCGGGAGCCTCTCCCACCTTTCAACGCCCTAGCCGCCTACGACCTCCGTTCTCGTCAACGTCTTTTCCTGTCTACTCTCAACGCAGCCATCGACGACGATGAGTCCACCCCTCCAATTGCAAACGACGTCGCGGTGGATTACAAGGGTAATGCCTATGTCACCAACTCCGCCGGTAACTACATCTGGAAGGTCAACGAGAAAGGAGAGGCCTCGATCTTCTCGAGAGCGCCACAGTACACAGCTCATCCTGTGGACCGGGATACACCGTATAGTTCCGTTGGGCTGAATGGGATTGCTTATGTCTCCAAGGGGTATCTGCTGGTGGTGCAATCCAGTACGGGCAAGATGTTCAAGGTAGGTGAGGATGATGGGAGGGTGAAGCTGGTGTTGTTGAACGAGGATTTGACTGGTGCGGACGACATAGCCATCCGGAGTGACGGCGTCGTTGTTGTTGTCTCCCCCGTGAATAAGCTATGGCTTTTGAAAAGCCAAGATAGTTGGGCGGAGGGAGTAGTGTACGATAAGATTGATCTTGATTTGGAGAGGTTTCCTACGTCGGTTGCCGTGGGGGAAAGGGATAGAGTGTATGTGTTATATGGAAATGTGAACGAGGGGGCAGTGGAGAATTCAGGGAGGGAGAGTTTTAGTATACAAGAAATGAGATCAAAGAAGGAGGATGAAGACGATAATATTTGGATGTTCATCTTGATTGGGTTAGGCTTGGCTTATTTCTTGTTTTGGAGGTTTCAGATGCGCCAGCTTGTGACCAAAATGGACAAGAAGATTAATTAATCCCCACAGTTGTATATACGTTTCTTCCCCCATTTTGTTATTTACATGTTCAGTAATTGTACATTTGCTAATCTGTCTAACATCGAAATTATTTTGAAACTTAATAGTTCGTTTCTAGTCATGATATGATCCTTTATTGCAATGTGGAATGCTTTTGCGCGTTGGTCTCTTGAATTATATTCCAGTCCGGGTGCTGCTTAATTCCACCACATTGTTGTTTTCGTCAAGCTTCAGTCAGTAACCCCTTTGTTCTCTTTCATACCATTACTGTGACAAAATAATTTATGTTGTCATAATGCGGTGATCGGTGAACAAGCAAATCATTTGTATTTACTGATGTTTTATCGAAAATTGTACTGTAGGAGCAAGCATGATGTGCGGTTTATAGGGGGTGATCTTCTTAATATCTTCGTTTTATTTTCTCTCTTTAATATTGTTATTCAAAATCTCAGAGTACTAACAATCTCGGCTGAATCTGTGATTGCTCAGTAATAGTTGAAGAAAATCGTTTATAATTTTTATTGAGATTTTGGTAGAAACTTGATAGAGAGAGAGAGATGGAATAAGGGGTAGAAGGTGTGGGAGTCTTCTAGAAGCAAAATCTAATCCTAGAAGTAGAAGTAGGAGAATCTCTACAGTTTTCTGAATGGTATTTCATTCATGTCCTTGGCAGAATACATAATATGGGGTTTATCTTGTGACAAAATAACTGAGTAACTACCATGCCTTAGATACATGAAACTGATGACAACATGTAGTAACTGACACAAGACACTTATAATGGGTAAGATGAGACACATAACATGGTCACATGTAGACATATATAGACGTAAAACATAAAACAATTATTATAATATCTAATCCTAGACTGAGTCTTCATCTGTAGTGGGACTGCCACGCCTTTTCCGAGAATAAACTAGTAAAGGGCATTGGTATCTATCAGATTTTTGTTATTTTTTAAATTTAATAGTGCATTTCATTAGTTCGTACATGAAATATCAATGAAGTGGAATGTAAATTCTGTTTGTTAGGGAGTTAGAAATTTTACTTGAACTGTTTGGCAGGTACCTATATGTTTAGTTTAACCGGCTTGGTTGATGGATACCTATGCATTCTCCTTCTTCTTTGTATTATACATCCCTATATGCCAATGTCTTTTATAATTTAGTTCCAGCTGATTCGAATTTTCAAACTGTTAAGAGGAATGTGAAGTTAAGCTCAAACTATGAGTTGAGTACCAAAGTGCTACATGCTGTGTTTGTGATTTTGTTTGAAGCAGTTAAGGTACCAAAAGGCACGCCTGGGGTGCAGAGGCAAGTTGCCTCTAGGGGTCCTCTCCTACTTGATAAATCTGGTGATGCTCCTTCAGTGCACAACTTTGGTGCCTTTTGGAGTGAAATGAAGTTCTTGCCATTGCTATTTAAGTGTAACCTTCATGCTTGTCTTCCTTCACGTGAATGTCTTTAGGTAGTACATTAGAAAGTGCTGTCCTGCTGAGTTAGGTAATTCTAGCTTGTAAACCATTTGGGGGCAATGAGGTAATGGAACGATTGCTTTGGCCTCGCCTGCTTGATCTGAGACTAGAAAGTGCTGTTCTGAGCTCTCTGTCTTTCTCGTTTTTTTACTAAAATGCAACAACCTTATCTCTATTTAGCCAAGCTACTTGAGTTACTTTATGTTTATAGTTTTTCATCTTGCTGCCACTGTAGCTGGACTTTGAAAGAGAGAACCTGCAATTATAAATTGTTAATTGAGACTTTAATAAATGCGAATTGTTTCTTCTCGGTATTTGAATGCTCCTATAACGCAGTAACTTATCTTGAATATGTTACTTTGTATGAGTTCTATGTTTGAACCAAAATTTATTTGACAACTGTAAAATTATAATAGCTAAAATTCAGTTGTTGATAGTTTATCCTTATCTTTCGTCACCTCCATGTTTCTGCACCATACATCACTTGAAGAATTGATTGTGGACACCTTTCAGCTCGATGCACCAGATGGTGTAGCCTCGTGAGGGTTATCTGCCTTCAAATGCTTTGTTTTGTGTGATGTGCACACAGTTATTTAACTAATTAATATGAATTCAGAGAGCTTGCATTAGTGTGGAATCCTTTCCGTTGATATGACTTCTTTTTTTCCTTCCCTTCCCAAGAGCTGTCCATCTTACCTAAGGAATCTCACTGAACATAATATTGAGCATCCATCTGATCCTATCCATCATTCCATGCTACATACAATGATCTTAGTATGGCGATTTCTTTGTATCCTATGATGAGTTTCTTCTTTTTAGTGTTCTTCGCTCTGGTTTTGCTGCAGACATATATGATTCAGTAAATCTCCAGTTTATTTGTTCATTCTAATCTTTCATTTTACTGGGTTCGCTCTGTGTTAATTACACTTATCCTTGCGTGAAAAAGGATTTTCTCCTGTTTTATTCTGATCTTTACGAGCTAGTCTGCTTTCGCCATGAATTTTACTCTACATTGTTGATGTCTACTTTGATATTGATGTGATTGTGTCTTAGTTGAGTCAGTGTGGCATATTTTTCTATTGAGTAGCCATCCACTCATTCCGCAACTTATTGACCTTATTGCCCTCTCTTGATATGCATTTACATGCAACTTTAGCAGTAAATAGCCTCAGTACTGAAATACTGATTTGGGATATGCAGTGTCCAGTTGTACTTGCGGGATAAATTAGTTCCGGTAGTCAGAAAAGTTTTTCCCCCTTCCTACAGTGTTATGCCTATTTTTGCCTGTGTTGGTGTTTGTAATATCAATATTTAAAATATGAACACAAGTACTTCTGTATCTTAATAAAAACAACTATTTCACGTATGTTGTCAAGCGTGACATCCTAGTCTTCTGATCTACATGCTGTTTCGTGAACTTGATTGTTGTCCACGGTTTAGATGCTGTAATTTTGGTATGCAGTGTATAGCAGAAAATATTCTAAACGAGATGGCTTATAAGTAGGTTTCGGGTCATAACTTATGAAGTACGAGAAACATATGTGAAACGAGCTTAGTGCTTCCAAACAGGGTGATAACGAATTTTTGTTCAGATTGACTATTTAGAGGATACGGAACCATGTAAAGAACAACATATATATCTAAAAGAGTGAAGTCTGCTACATTTTAGGTGCTGGCGATCCCACTGACTTTTGAATTTCTCGCCAGTATTTGTAATCATACTTAACATCCTAGCCTCTCTCGTTTGACATTGGATTTTGTTGTCTCTAACTGGGAAATACCGAGGGTTGTTTGATTGTCGAGAATGTGTACTTCTGTTTCAAAGGTAAACAGATGGTGACATCTAAACTTCGTCTTTGAATTCTTCCAAATTTTACCCCTTCTGTTTCTTGGACAACTTCTCCAAGCTGTTTGGCAATGGAAACTGAAATAGGAAGGAGAAATGAAGAGGGGTGTCGGATTTTCCTTCTTTTGGTTTGTCTGAGGTCTCAACCCCTTTTCTTGGGAGACCAAATATTAACAACTGCCTCATGGAAAATCCAAAATTTCCTCGGAGGCAATTTATCCTGACCAAAATACCCTTAGCATTTTATGACTCTGTTCATGTAAGCTAGACATCACCCGCACTCAGCTTCGAGTTTACCATCTCATCTCATCATTGATCTTTACTCCCACTGGACATTGACTTAAATTTTGATCTGCAAGCCCTGCTGTTGTAGTAACAAACTTTACGTCTTACAAAAGCCAACTTCAATTATAATCGAATTTGTTCCTTTTTTTTTTTTTTTTTATCAATTTGTCATTTGATTTGACTTAATGTATAATCCAATTTAAACGGTTTTGGATGAACTCTTCTATCAAGTATTATACTAACATTAAGTGACCGAGAGCTAGAAGGTCACACCAAAAAGAATAACATATTTTTGGTTCTAATGATTAGCTTGCATTTTCAATTTTCAATTCCATAACATGAATATTTTGGCTTTAAATATGATATTCGTTCATGTCGATTTCCTTTATATGTTGATGGCCAGTTCATTCCTATTTTCTAAAAGAAGCTATATAGTGTATACTTCAGGTTTAAACTATTAAAAAGTCCTGTGCCCTGGCCCGATGAAAACAACACAAGTATACAACAGATGCCTTTCATTTTGTTAAAAGAACTAAGTGACTGAGTAGTCAGATATATGTAATCATGATTAAATTAAATTCCCCAAATATAATTGAGAAAGCCTTCCATATAATATATTGAAAAACGTATTTCTAAGGGAAGAACAACAGTCAACAGTACAACAGCATTATAACACGCGCAGTTTCGGAATACTCTACACCTGTCTGATGATTGCCCAACCTTTGTTTTTTATTATTTCCTTCCAAGTTCCATGTTGTCTGCTGGGTCATCGTCATGATCAGCTCCTTTGCACTTGCGGTGCACATATGCAGCCATCTTCTTGCATATTTCCGTCACTGGGTTGGGGGAAAAATATACAAGGAGGCAAATGAAGAATGATGATGAGATGAGCGCTATAACAGGCTTAGAACCCAGCACTGATATGAGTACAGCACAAGCCATGCTTCCTGAGATTACAGCTATGTGAGAGGAGAGATTGAAATATGGGGTATCACTATTTGAGGTGGAGGCATGAGACTTGTGGTAGGCGGATGAAAATGCATAGACGAACAAGCATACTATGAAAATCCACACGTTTGCTGAGTATTTATCTGCAGGGGACGAGTTGGGGAAGTGCATTTGAACAACCATGGCTATCGTTGTAATCAAGAATACAAAGATGGAATGCCAGGGCTTTGAACTGCAGAAAACCAGCAAACTCACTATTATTATGAACTTATATTACATACAGCAAAGAAGCTTGAAGATGCAAGTATAGATATAAAGATCTAAAGAGTGAATAAATGAAAAATGAAGGAAAAAAAAACAGAGAAACAGAGTATGGGATTCAGAGAGAGAGAGAGAGAGTATACTAACCTCGCAGGATCAGCCATTGGCAGATGGAAAATGCGAAGGGTAAGTGAGAGAGAGA